GTAGAGACGGGGTTTCACCATGTTGACCAGGATGGTCTCGATCTCTTGACCTCGTGATCCACCCGCCTCGGCCTCCCAAAGTGCTGGGATTACAGGCTTGAGCCACCGCGCCCGGCTCAGAATAACCTTTTCAAAGAAATCAAAGAAAACTAGAAACTCTGGAGTAAATCTTTCTTTTTATTTTTGAGATGAAGTCTCACTCTGTCTCACCCAGCCTGGAGTGCCCTGGTGTGATCATGGCTCACTGCAACCTCTGCCTCCTAGTTTCAAGCAATTCTCCTGTCTCAGCCTCCTGAGTAGCTAGACTACAGGTGTGCACCAACACACCTGGCTAATTTTGAATTTTTAGTAGGGACAGGGTTTCATCGTGTTGGCCAGGCTGGTCTCAAACTCCTGATCTCAGGTGATCCACCTGCCTTGCCTTCCCAGAGTGCTGGAATTACAGGCATCACTCACGGCACCTGTCCTGGGGTAAGCACACCTTAAACATTTTTCTTAAAAGCATCAGAAGTTTGAAAAGCCAGTAAGAAGCTGAAATACAATTGTATTAGTCCATCTTCACACTGCTATCAAGAAATACCCAAGTGTATTAGTCCATTTTCATGCTGCTGATAAAGACATACTTAAGAATGGGAAGAAAAAGAGGTTTAATGGACTTACAGTTCTACATGGCTGGGAAGGATTCACAATCATGGTCGAAGGCAAGGAGAAGCAAGACATGCCTTACATGGATGGTGGCAGGCAAAGAGAGGGAGCTTGTGCAGGAAAAATCCCATTTTTAAAACCATCAGATCTCATGAGACTTATTCACTATCATGAAAACAGCACAGGAAAGACCTGCCCCCATGATTCAATAATCCCCCACTGGGTCCCTCCCACAAAACATGAGAATTATGGGAGCTACAAGATGAGATTTGGGTGGGGACACAGAGTCTTATCACCAAGACTGAGTAATTTATAAAGAAAAAAACAGAAAATCAAACACCACATGTTCTCACTCATAGGTGGGTGTTGAACAATGAGAACACGTGGACACAGGGAGGGGAGCATCACACACTGGGGCCTGTCGGGGGGAAACAGGAGAGGGACAGTGAGGGGTGGGGAGTTGGGGAGAGATATCATGGGGGGAAATGCCAGATATAAGTGATGGGGAGGAAGGCAGCAAATCACACTGCCATGTGTGTGCCTATGCAACAATCTTTCATGTTCTTCACATGTACCCTAAAACCTAAAATGCAATAAAAATAAATAAAATAAATAAATAAGAAAAGAGATTTAATTTATTCACAGTTCCTTTTGGGTGGGGAGGCCTCAGGAAACTTTCAGTCATGGCAGAAGTCACCTCTTGACAGAACAGCAGGAGAGAGAATGAGTACAAGCAAGGGAAATGCCAGATGCTGATAAAACCATCACATCTCATGAGACTCATTCATCATGAGAACAGTATGAGGAAGACCATCTCCATGATTCAATTACATCCAACTGGTCCTACTCTTGACACATGAGGATTATGGGGATTACAATTCAAGGTGAGATTTGGGTGGGGACACAAAGCCAAACCATATGATTCTATCTGGTGCCTCCCAAATCTCATATCCTCATATTTCAAAACAAAATCATGTCCTTTCAACAGTCCCCAAAATCTTAACTCATTCCAGCATTATCCCCAAAGTCCAAGACCAAAGTCTCATCTACGTCTAGGCAAGACCCTTCTGCCTGTGAGCTTGTAAAATCAAAAACAAGTTAGTTACTTCCTAGTTACAATGTTGGTACAGGGATTGGGTAAATACATCCATTTCAAATGGGAGGAATTGGCCAAAACAAAGAGGCTACCAGCCCCAGGCAAGTCTGAAACCTAACAGGGCAGTCATTAAACCTTAATGTTCTAACATGATCTTTTTTGACTTTGTGTCTCACATCCTGGTTATGCTGATGGAAGATGTGATCTCCCATGGCCTTGAGCATGTAGCTTTTTAGGCTACAGCTTCCCTCTTGGCTGCTTTCAGAGACTGGCCTTAAGTGTCTGCAGATTTTCCAGACAGGCTGTTCAAGCTTTCAGTGGATCTACTATTCTGGGGCCTGGAGGATGGTGGTCTTCTTCTCACAGATACACTAGGCAGTACCCTTGTTGAGACTCTGTGTGAGGGTTCTAACCCCACATTTTACTTCCTCACTGCCTAACAGAGGTTCTCCATGATGACTTCATCACACAACAGACTTCTGTCTGGACATCCGGGCATTGCCATACATCCCCTGAAATCTAGGTTCCCCAACCCCAATTCTTGACTTCTGTGCACCCACAGGACCAACACCACATGTAAGCCACCAAAGCTTGGGACTTGCATCCTCTGAAGTCATGGCCCAAGCTGTACCTTGGCCTCTTTTAGCCATGGCTAGAATTAAAGCAGTTGAGACACAGGGCCCCAAGTCCCAAGGCTACACAGAGCAGCAGGGTACTAGGCTAGGCCCATGAAACCATTTTTCCCTCCTAGTCCTACAGATCCGTGATGGGAAGGGCTGCTTTGAAGATTTGTGACATGCCCTAGAGACATTTACCCTATTTTCTTGTATTTAACACTTGACTCCTCATTACTTATGCAAATTTCTGCACCTGGTTTGAATTTCTTCTAAGAAAATGGATTTTCTTTTCTATTGTATCGTCAAGCTGCAAAGTTTTCAAACTTTTATGCTATGTTTTTCTTTTAAACATAAGTTTCAATTCGAAATCACATCTTTGAGAAAATGTAAAATTAAATGCATTTAAGAACACCCAAGTCATATCTTGAATGCTTTGCTGATTGGAAATTTCTTCCACCAGATACCCTAAATCATCTCTCTCAGGTTTGAAGTTCCACAGATCTCTAGGGCAGAGCCAAAATGCCACCAGTCTCTTTGCTAAATCATAGCAAGAGTCACCTTTTTTCTAGTTCCCAACAAGTTTCTCATCTCCATCTGAGCCTGGGCTTCAGTTTCCATATCACTATCAGCGTTTCGTTCAAGTCCATTCAACAAGTCTCTAGGGAGCTCCAGATTTTCCCACATCATCCTGTTTTCCTCTGAGCCCTCCAAACTGTTCCCATCTCTGCGTTTTCTCCAGTTCCAAAGTCACTTCCATTTCAGGTATCTTTACAGAAGTACCCCACTCTCAGTACCAATTTACTGTATTAGTATATTCTTATACTGCTATGAAAAAATACCCAAGACTAGGTATAAACACAAGAAGTTTAGTTGACTCACAGTTCTGCATGTCTGGGGGCGCCTCATGAAATATACAATTATGGTGGAAGGCACATCTTCACAGAGCAGCAAGAGAGAATTAGTGCAAGAAGGGGAAATACTTGATGCTCATGCCACCATCAGATCTCATGAGACTTACTCATTATCAAGAGAAGAGTATGGAAGAAAACTGCCCCCATGATTCAATTACTTCCATTTGGTTCCATCCTTGACATGCGTGGATTATGAGTATTACAATTCAAGGTGAGATTTGGGAGGTGACACAAAGCCTAACCATATTAATTCTGATCCTTGACCATAATCCCTGAACAAAGACAAGACTAGAAATAGGAGCCTAACATTTGGTATTAATTTATCCAAGACAAAATTGCCAAATCTAAAGTAGAGGTGGAGATCCTAACAAATTTAGCAATTTCTCTGAGCCAGGACAAAAAAAAAGAAATGAAGAGTAAGTCCTGAAAAAAGAATGGACCCTGCTAATATAAACAAGTTTCAGTTATCTTTTAAAGACAGTTACTTAGCAATACATAGAACCAGCAACATTGACTCAAATAATTGAAATAACGGAATTTTCTAGTTTTACAACTGGACATAAAACACATTGTCTTTTGAGTTAGATAAAATCATAACAATCGTATATTATCACTGTAGTGTGCTACATAAGATTATAAAAATTCTATAAAAATTGTTTTTAAAAGGTTTTACACAAAGTCCAGAGAAAAGCCAAGTTATAGACTGGAACTACAAATATGTGTGATTAACATGTCCAAGAAATATTTAACATTTAGAGAATTTGGGCTGGGCGCAGTGGCTCAAGCCTGTAATCCCAGCACTTTGGGAGGCTGAGGCGGGTGGATCACGAGGTCAAGAGATTGAGACAATCCTGGTCAACATGGTGAAACCCCGTCTCTACTAAAAATACAAAAAATTAGCTG